CTTAAGACCAATGAACATGGTGAAAGGCTTTTATCATGTTAAATCCTAGGTAATCATAAGTATAAAGGTGAGTATAAAGACTAATGATATATGGACCAAACACTTTATAACATCCATTTTATTGTTTATAAGCACAGAGTATTTATTAGAAAAAATGGATGCAAATAAAACTATAAATGAATGCAAGTACTCAATTACAGGAATAGATAACACTTTAAATAATCTTTTTTCATAAAAAACATTTCCAAGTTTAAAAACCAATAATATTACATTTTCTAAATATCATTTGGAGATTTAAAACAATGAAATGATACAATGGCTGAGATCTGCTTCAATATAATCCATGGGGTAAGGGAGTGGGTAGATAATAAATAAGAACCTCCATGAGCTGAGAAGTTTTGAAGATGGTGATGATCACATGGGCGGGGTTATAATGCTTTCTCTTCCTTTGTACCTGTTCAAATTTCTTTCTTTCTTAATATTTTATAAGCTAACAGCAAACAAACAGACATCTGAACCTTTCCAAAATTTTTACACAATCAATAATATTGATATATATTTATAAAGTCAGTAATTTTTACAAGCTTTTGAAATTAACCTCAAATTCTCCAAAGAAATAAAGCAGTAAAATTTCCACAGACTGAAAGGCTGGAAACTTGGCTTATAAAGTATATAAACAGATAAGGAGAACAAAAAAAGTCTAGTATAGACAGAATATACAATTTAGTTCTGGTTTCACAAAAAAATTTTAATTTAAGTTGACGTAGTCTAAAACTTAAAATTTTATAGAATCTAATCATAAAATATAAATGCTGTCTGCCCTGGAAGAGGTTAAGATACATATTTTTTATAATACATATTATTATATTGCTTTGGATCTCTACAAAAGGCCTTTGACAATCTAGGATGAGCTTATACCATTGAGAGCTGAAATTAACTTTAAGGTGTTAATAAAACTTGATGTATTTTTCCATTTCCTTGCCTCTATGCTACCACTTTCACTTGAGTTAACTCCAATTCATTCTTCAAATCTCTGCTTAAATTCCTATTTCAAGAATCTGTCCCCCAGTCCAACCCAGTAGTAGAGTAAAATGTTACCCTGCATCCTCCCACTCAAATTTTGCTATCTTTATTACAAGACATTCAAAGCTGAGTGGGCGGCACATGCCTGTAATCCCAGCATTCGGGTGGCTGAGGCAGGAGGATTACCATGAGTTCAAGGCCAGCCTGGGCTACACAGCAAGACCCTGTCTCAAAAACACAAAACAAAATAAGCCATTCATTTTTAGTTGAGTTTCACACGTCCTTTTTGAGGTTGAGATATGATTCACATACCACAAAAATCCCATTTTAGAGACTATAAACCCCAATTTTTAAGATAGTCACAAGATGATGCACCTATCACCATTAATTTCACATGCCTTATCACCTTAAAAAAAATCCCCATTAGCAGTTATTCCACATTCCTTACTCCCCTCAGCCTCTGGAAAACATTAAACAACTATTTTTCCCTACATTTGGATATTCCGTATTCATGAAATCATATAATGTGTGGCCTTTTGTGTATAAATTTCCACTTAGCATAAGGGCTCCAAATTATGTATTATAATATGCCTGTACTTCATTCCTTTTCTATCTGACTTATTATTTTATGGACATACCATATTTTGCTCATTCACTAAACAGCTGATTAGACATCAGGGTTATTGTGGACCACTGTGAATATTCATGTGAGAAGTTTTGTATATAAACATACAATTTCAATTCTCTTGGGTCTATACCTAAGTATAGAACTGATGAGTGACATATCCTCATATTTTTTTGTGAAAATGGCAAATAATTTCCCAAAGTGGTATATAATTTTATGATTTCTGCAGTGCTGTATATATATCAATTCTTTCTCTTTTTTTTCAGTGCTCTATATACTACCAACATTTTGTCTAGCCATCACTTCACAACCATTAGGATGTCTTAGCCATCCTAATGGTTGTGAAGTCATGTGATATCTCACATGACTTTGATTTGCATTTCTCTGATGGCTAGTGATACCGAAAATTTTTATTTACTACTGGCTATTTATGTAGTCTTTTTTGAAGATATCATCTATTCAGAACTTTTGCCCACTTCAAACTGGACTATCTTTTTTTTATTAATTTACTTTAAAAATTAAAGAAGGAAAGCGTATTAACAAACAGATATCCATTTACAAAACAGCATCAGAACAATACAAGCAATACTGAATTATAGACAAAGTGGTAGGAAATTAACAATGGTTGTTGTATTACTATTGTATTGCTATCTTCAAAGTGGTTTCTCAAGAAAACAAAGAGACGTGCGAGACTGATCAAATAAGTAATCATTAACTGTTCCTTTCAGTAAAGTGACAGAAGTCAGTAGTACAACTATGTTAGCTATCCTGTATATGCACATACATAAGTAATTTCCCCTTCTTTCTCTTTTCCCTCATCCCAGTTGCTCTTTACTTTTGAGCAGTTTCCTTTAGTTTCACAATGTATCATACCTCCTAGTTTTTATTCACTCTTTCAGGTTCTCACACTAGTGAGACAATACGTTGCTTACATATGGAGGTCTGGTTTATTTCACTTATAAGTATGGTCTCTAGTTGTGACCTGTAAAAGCCTTGAGTTTATCTTCCTTTATAACTGAGTAATATTCCATTATATAAAAGTAGCACTTTTTTTTTATCCATTCCTCAGCGGATGGACGTTCAGGTTGCTTCCACAATTTAGCAATTACAAATTGTGCTGCTACGAACATGGATGCACATGATATTGCTGTGATATGATGTCTTCAGATCTTCTGAGAAAATACCCAGCAGGGGAACAGCTGGGTTGAATGGGACCTCTAGATCTAGTTTGCTGAGGAATATCCAAACTTTTTTCCACAGTGGTTTTACCAGTCTGCATTCCCAGCAGTTCAGAGTTCCTATTTCTCCACAGCCTCACCAGCATTTGTTATTGGTTGATTTCTTAATGCTAGCCACTCTTATCTGGGTGAGATGAAATCTCAATGTTTTAACTTGATTTCTCAAATGACTAATGATGTTATATTTGTCTTGTTGAATTAAAATTTTTAATATACTCTGGGTACTACACCCTTATCAGATACATGATCTTCCAATATTTTGTCATTTGCAGGTATTTTTTTTCACTTTAATGACAGCGCCTTTTAACAAACTAAATTTTTAATTTTGATGAAATTATTTTATTTTTCACTGGCTTCTTGTGCTTTTGATGTTAAATTTAACAAACAATTGCCCTATCCAAGCTTGCAAAGATTTACCGTATATTTGTGTCTCTGTTTTATAATTTTAACTCTTACAGCTAAGTCCCAGATCCATTTTAATTGTTGTATATAGTGTTAAGACAGAGACCCCAATTCATTCTTTTGCATATGGAAACCCACTTGATCCCAATTCATTCTTTTGTGTATGGAAAACCATAAGTATTTGTTGAAAAGACTATTCTTCCCCACTGAATAATGGTCTTACTCTTGTCCAAAACCAATCACCCACAGATGTGTACAAGCTGATTTCAGGATTCTCAATTCTATTCCACTGATCTATATCAAGCTTGCATGTCTCTTTTAGATTGTAGCTAGCACAGGACATGAAATATGTGAAGCCTGCAATAAAAATTCATTAAGTAACCAACCCTGTCAATAATAAAGTGACAGAATTTGTGAACTGAGAAAAAGGCCTTAGAGAGCATCCTAACTAATCATTTATTTCCCCAGTACCTAACAAATGAGGAAACTGAGGCCAGAAAGAAGTTAACTGATGAGCTCAATGGCAAAGAACAAATTAATGACAGTCCAAAATAGGACCAGAACTTGGGTCTCCTAATCTCAAGGCAGGCTCTGTATCAAGCTGTTTCTCAAGTAAATTGAACATTTGCTGTGTGACCATGAGAATCTGCCCATGTAGAACACAGAGGCAGACATGTAAAGTGTTTACATCACAATGGGAGCATTCATAACTGCCACTAACCAAAAAGCCTCACAACCAAAACAAGCTAGAAAATAACTTTCCACAAAGCCAAATTCCCTCCAAACAACTGTCTTCTACTTCATCTGCAGATTACTGTAAATGGAAGGAACCATTTGTGTGACTGTAAAAAAGGATGATCACAAAGAAACTGGAAAACCATCTCTCTAGGGACATACTGAGGAACTTCTGGGAGTATGTAAAGACACTGTTGTGTGTACTGGGTATGGGTAAAACCATAGAATTTTAAAAAGACTATGAAATAATGATATAGTAGTAAAGGAGTCTGAAATCTCATTTGAAAATGTGCCTCCATGAGGGAGTCACTTCATTTTTCTGTGCCTCCTTCAGTTCATGTTTTATAAAACATGACTAAGAGTGTCAATGTCACAATCTCACTTTGAGAATCACATAAAAATGTGTGAAGAGCCTAGCACAGACAGCCAGGTATTATAATAGGAATGTTAATTCTCTTCCTACTTGGTTGTGATATGAAGGGCAGACTCAAAACACTCTCTTCTCTAAAAAGTATCTCCCCAACAGATGTTGGGTGTTTGAATTTTACCATCAGAAAATTCTGTTTAGATTTTGAAAAGCCTCAACTCAATGTAAAATAATCCATCAACATTAAAGTGTATCTATTAATTTTTAAGATAACTTAGCAAGATCTGAAAGTACTAAAGACCTCTTTTGATAGTAATAAAACAGGGAAAGAACTATGGACCATTACTACCCCATGAGGAAAATGATGCTATGTTTTGGCTTTCCCAAAATACCCAGCTATGTGAAATGTGATAAAATAATAGCACAGATAACCAACGTTAAGTATGCCAAAATAAAATTTATTTTTAAATACCTCAAAACCATTATATTACTACAGCCTCAAGACAATGTAATATCTAAACTTACACTTCACATTTTATTCCTATTATTATTAGGAGCAAATACTATCACTTATTTTCCCAAGTACTACTCCAAATTCTCAGTCACTCACCCGCCCGCCATCTTATGAATCCTGTGCTTCCTCTCCGCCTGTGGGCTCCACCAAAGAGGGCTCTATAAAGTAAACGTGGAGACAATTACTGCCAAAAGTGAAAGAACAGAAGTTCTTAATAGTTCCAGAAAGCTTAATAAAATCAGACCTTGATTCACTAACTTAGAGAAAAAAAAGTCTAAACTCAAAAACTACAGAATAGGGATAGATTAAATATGTTTATGGTGTAAAACATATGCAACAGAACTTTTCAAAAATCAGCAAAATATATTTAGTATTATTTATAGATAAAAGATTTAGTGGCAATTTCATTCCCCAAGCTCACAGAAAAGTCCATCCTATCATAAAAATAAAGAAGAATATAAAAATTTGGAAAAAAAATTAAAAGCTTCATCTTAAAGGTGGCACATGAAGAATATTAAAGCTTCTGTTTTCTTGGCATAGTTAGGAGACATCTGTGAACCAGATACTTGCACCTGTTTTCTTCCCTAATACTACAGTGAAGAAATTATCACACGACAGCATGCTCACAACCTAACCTTTCCTCCTACATTTCCTTTCTTAATCTTATCACATACTCTCCATCAAAGGAACAATTCTCCCTCAATATCCACAAATAAAATTTATGCCAACTTAAAGTAATAATAAATATCACCTTTTATGATACTGATACAGTACTGACTGAATGCTTTTCCATAAATTAATTGTAATAACTGCAGTGGACTGAAGGCTTCATTCCCTCAAAAATTCCTATGTTGAAGGCCTAACCCCTGGTGTAATATATTTGGAAATAAGGCCTCTGGGAGAGGGTTATGGTTAGCTGAGGTCATGGTGATGGAGCCACTGAGATGGATTAGACCCTTACAAGGAGACCCATGAAAGCTTTCTTCACACACTCTCCACAGCCCCACCACACTAGTACCCTAATTTCAAACAACCAGACTCCAGAACTGTGAGAAAATAAATTTCTGTTGTTTAAACCACCCTGACAATGATGCTTTATTATGACATCCTGAATAGACTAATACAGATAGATGAAATATTTCCCCATTTTACAGATGAAAAAATTATAGCTTAGGCTATGTAACCTGGCAGTACAGCCAGGATTTAAACCTAACTTTTAACCAATACTATTCCACTAATGTCTCTTACAAGACTGAGTGCTTAACATGCATCACCAACTTTGCTAACTGCAAAAAAAGAAAATAAAGTTGCCTCTAAGGAACTCATACACCCAATTATATAATATACACAAACTTTTAAATTGTCAAAGAATGAGCTCCTTGAAGCAAGGAACCCAAGAAATCTTACTAAAATAAACAGAAAAGCTACCAAACAATAATACAATGTGACAAATGTTATGAGAATGGGCCTAAGAAAGTAGAACACACACACTTGTGGGGGTGGTTAGGGCAAGGACTGTAAGGCAGGTAGAGTATGAAAGCTTACAAAGGAAATAAATGCAAGGCAGACAGAACAGAATACAGTCAATGATCTTTGGAAGGAATTTATCAGACTGCTGCCAGAAATAACTGAACTGTAAACTGCCTTTTCAAAGGTGCATGGAATCTCACTGAGACAACTATATGGTGAAGGAACTATAGTGCAAACATGCAATTTGAAACTGTGGTTGGATGAAATTCACTATATAAGTTACCTTCAGAGGCTCCCATCTCGTATGTTCTTCTTTTTCAAAGGACCCTTCATAAAGCAAGAAAGTAGTGTAATAATCTTGCACAGATATAATCACATTAATTCTTTATTCAAAAACATTCAATAGCCCTATTCTGTCTGCGATATTTAAACTCCTTAGAGTAGAATGCTACATCTCTCACAATCTGCCTGTTTTCCTTTCCTCCCTAATTCACCTCAAGTCACAAGTCCTCCATGCTAAAGTTACCCCAGATTATTAGCTGCTTTTAAACAGTCCCTGCCTGTTACAGTATTTCCATCTGGCTGTGGGCCCATCTTCAAGACTTACGGCAAAGACGTCCTAAGAAAGTATAATCTTGCCTACTAGTTAACTTAGTACACTGTATCTTAAGTTAGTTGCACTCCTGCACATCTGTTACACACTTAATTGAATAGGAATGCACACCTGTAATCCCAGCACTCAGGAGGCTAAGGCAGGAGGACTGAGTTCAAGGACAGCCTGAGCTACACATCAAGTTCAAACCCAGCCTGGATTACAGAGTGAGAGCCAATCTCAAAAAGCAAGCAAGCAAACAAACAAAAACTATGAACTATTTGAGAGAAGCTAGGCAGAAATATCAAAGAAAATAGATTAAAGCAAATCTATGAGTGTCTGGGTACAATAAAGAATCATTACAATGCAGCACAATAAGAGCAATGATAGGCAAATACGTAAGAGTATGAGGAGATAATCACCTAACTCAGCCTTGCAGAGGTTCAGCACAGCTTCCCAGAGATGACACAAACATGAATATTGCCAGGCACGGTGGCAAATGCCTGTAACCCTAGCACTCAGGACACTGAGGGAAGAGGATCTCCAGGAGTTCAAGGCCAACCTGAACTACATAGCAAGATCCTGTCTCAAAAATCTCAAAAAAAATAAATAAATAAATAAATGAAAATGATATACATGAAACATACAAAAATATCAACAGTGTGGTGAATTCAGTGTTACAGAAAGTACAGTATAAGGCTGGGGTAGCAGAGTATGATCCTAACAAAACAGACTCTGGTTTTATATACTATATTAAGAATATTATACTACAGGCCAATGACTTGGAACTACAAAGTATGAATGTGTGCTGTGTCAAAACTACTTTCACATCAAACTGAAAGTCATTTTTAAAACTGAATAAAACAGCTAGTATATTCAAGCATCAAAAATCAAACATTAAAAAGATCTTTTGGCAACAAGAATACCAAGTCAAATGTGAAAAACAAAAAGGGTAAGACTGCCTTAGAGAGATAAAGATTTGTTGTAAAATGGTATGGGCATAAGAATGAAAAAATAATGGATGTCTAGCTCAGTGATGCTTGTCTGTACTCCCTGCACTTTGTAAGGCTGAGGCAAGAGGACCACAAGTTTATGCCCACCTTGGGCAACTTAAAAGGGATTCAACAAGACCTTGTATCAAAATTAAAAATTAAAAGGGTTGGGGATATAGAAACTAGATGGTGTGCAAATAGGAAAGGAAGGGGAGGAGAGGGGCGGGCAGAGGAGAGAAGGGGAGAGGAGAAGAGGAGAAGGGAAGAGAAGAGGTGAAGAGAGGGGAGCAGAGAGGGGGAGGAGAAGGAAGAGAAAGGGAGGGGGAGGGTTGGAAGGGAAGAGGGATGGAGGGAAAGAGAGAGTAAGGGAGAGGGAGCAGGAGTTGCCCACTGGATTCAAAGTTCACAACAAAAGAGGGAGGGAGGGAGGGAAGAAGAGAGGATAGATGGATAGATGGACAGATGGATAGATAGATGGATATGAATGGATAAACGAATGAATGAAAAACTTGTTCTTTTCTCACTGTCCTGAAATTAAGACAAGGGACCAGCAGTTTCAGTGTCTGGTAAGGGCACATTTCTCACAGGTGGCATCCTCTTGTCATCTAGCAGAGACATACAGAGACCCTAAAACAAATCTACATATAAATAATACTATACGGCGATTCAGGTTATTCAATAAATAAAATTTGGAAGCTGGGCATGGTGGTGCACCCCTGTAATCCCAGCACTCAGGAGGCTGAGGTAGGAGGATCATTGTGAGTTCGAGGCCAGCCTGGGCTAAAAGTGAGTTCAAAACAAGCCTGAACTACATAGTGAAATCCTATCTCAAAAAGACAAATAAAATAAAATAGAGTTTGGACAATTATTACACTTTGGATATTTTATAAGAAAATAAAGAAGATTCTTGTAGTCAGCTTCCGGGATGTCCTCCAATGATCTTCACAGTATTAGGTCTTCATCCCCAGCTCCTGGGTTCCTGGCAGCAAGCTCCAGGAACATATTTTATGATGGTATTTTGGTCTTAGTCCCTGGTTCTTAAATACAATAGCTTCCAAGGATGCTTAGAATCTCCAGAATGAAGTCTTTTGTAGTCTAGTGAGATGACTAGTGGATGGATAGCTTCAAATAAGAGGCTGGTGGCCAGAGAGACGGAAGCATGATTATTACAGTTAGAACTTTCAGCACCACCTCTCTCCCACCCTGTGTGGAAAGGAGAGGGGTTGTAAGCTGAGTTCATCTTTAAGGGCCAGGGATTTGATCTATCATGCTTACATAGAAAAATCTTAGGGGAGCCTCCAGGTTGGTTAAGACATCCACATGCTGGAGGGGCAGCACTCTCTTAACTCTACAGGACAGAACCTTTTGGAACTCACCCTAGTCTTCAACTAGCTGTTCATCTGAATTCATTATATTCTTTATAGTAAACTGACACATGCACATAAGGTGTTTTCCTGGGTACTATGAGTCATTCTAGCACACTACTGAGCCTGAGGAGGAAGTGATGGCCAGTTGATAGCCAATAAGTTAAAGTATGGGAGGCCCAGATTTCCAACAGGCATCTGAAGGGAAAGGGAGACAGTTTCATGGGACTGAGACCTTAATCTGTGGAATCTGCACTAATTTTGAGTGGTGTCTGAATTCAACTGAACTGTAGGTCATCCAGTTGATGTTCAGAGAGCTGAAAAACTGGTTGGTATAGAAGGAAAACCCATCTTTTTAGTATCAGAATTGCTCTGTGCATAGAAATGGTATCTAGCACCTATGAGCTGGGCTGAAGAACAGTGTGACAGTTTCCGCTTATTCTCTTAGAACACTGACTGTGGAAGCCAGCCTCCACATCACAGGACAATCAAGTAGCCCTAGTACAAGGCCATAGGAGAAACTGAAGCTTCCTGCAAACAACAGTCAGCCTCTACTTGCCAGTCATGTGAGTGAGCCATCCTTAAAAGCAAATCCTTCAGCAACTTGAACCCTGATACAATGTCAGCCCTTTCTGACATCTTGACTACAACCTCGCCAAAGACCGGGACCAGAAACATCCAACCACATGCTGCCACATCCCTGACCCACAAAAACAGAGAGGAATAAGAACTGATTTTTGTTTTCATCAAATAGGTATGGTGGTCATTTGCTGTGTGGCAATGCAGAACTAATAAAGTGATTGTCATTATAACTTTACTGTGGAGAAAAAAGTTCTTAAATATGACCCCAGAAGCAAAACTTTAAAAGACAGGTAAATGTGTCTATAATTAGGACAAAAAAGGTTGGTACAATGAGAGCATAAATAAAACAAAAAAGCCTCAAAAAAAATGTACCATTCAATAATATGATTAATATCCAAAACACCTTTATTAAGAGACATCACCTACTACAAAAAAGGGGGTAAAGTTGGGAGACAATGACAGAAAAAGAAATTTATGAGAGAAATGAAATAGAAATAAACCTAAAAAAGAGTAAGAAATCCTACCAGTAACCAAAGAAATGTAAATTCAAAATATAAATACTCTCTTTGACATATCAAGAGTGAAAAAGGTTTATATGAAAAAGAATAATGGCAAAGGCAAAGGCATGGAGAAATAACAATTCTCATAAGTTGCTGGTGGAAGTCAACTGAAAAGGATCACTTTATGAAGCAATATCCAAAATCCAGTAAAGGTACAGGACAGGTACACTCTGTTACTTGGAAATTTCCTACTCACAATAATATATATGAGGAATATACAGAAACATTCACTGGATTATTGCTTATAGTGGGGGAAAACTATCACCATGTAAAGGGTTTTCAACAGAATAGTTAAGTAGAGCGGTTTACACATGGAATACCACACAACAGTGAAAATGAAGAACACCACGTATCAACACTAAAACATTTTGAGAACATATTATTAAAAATACACTGATGCGGGGCTGGGGATTTAGCTCAGCGGCACAGTGCCTGCCTGGCAAGCGTGAGGTCCTGAGTTCGATTCCTGGTACCAGAGAAAAATCAAAACAAACAGAAAAAAAATACACTGATGACTGCAGAAGATATATGCATTTATGCTAAGTCTGAAAATATTCCAGTTCCATGGCTCTGTTTTTATATATACATTTATACATAAGAAATTTCAATAATAAAAATTTATGTATGAATGCATGGGCATGATAAACCCTGAAGGAGGTACACTTCTGAGTAAGTACAGAAAAAGGACAGAGACTTAAGATTAGACAGTAAAGCATAAATTCCGTATTTATCTTGATTTTAAAAACATCTGATGGTAAAATATAACAAAGCTAGAAAACTGGAACATGGGCATTCATTTTATTATTCTGCATATTCTTCTGACTGCTTTAATATTGTATAACAAAAATATTTTCAAACAAAAGTAGGATGTTGGTAAAAACTATGGAAAAAAATGGGCAACATGGTGCAGATGAGAGAACAAAAAAGCAAACTTTAGAACAGATCGAGTGCTCAAAGACTGAGAAGCAATCTGCTGAGAAGTAAGTAACGAAAAGTCCTTCAAGAACCTTAGAAAAGAGAGCATCAGGAAAGTGTAGCCAGAGATATAGCTCAGCGGCATAAGCGCTTGCCTGGCAAGCCTGAGATCATGAGTTCAATTCCCTGAGTTCAATTCCCGGTACCAAAAAATAAATAAATAAATAAATAAGCAAAGGAAGTGTGAAAGACCTGACAAGAAAACAAACAAACTCTATTTGACGAACAGACACATACGCCTGGGATGAATCCAGGTCTTAGTGGAACCGCAAACTTATGTAACTAGAGTCCTCTTTAAAAAAGGAATACAAAATTATTAAAATACTAGACCCTAAATATTTAAAATAAGAAAGTAAGCCACAGCAAATCACCAGTTTTTTAAATTGGCACATAAATAAAAAAACACCATAATATTTTCAATAAATAATTCCCAAGCACAACTCTTTCTAAAAACTTTCTTCTACCTATCCTGGCTATATGATATGACTGAAAAATATGGTGAATGTTTAAATTTTTAAAAATTTATTACAGAAAAGACACATTGCCATTGATCCTCATCAAAATAGTTCTCTCATTCAAATACACTTATTCCATCATTCTTGCCATTTTCTGAAGCAGTTCTGGAAGTCCCCTTTCATGAGTGTATTTAGTTGTGCTGTCATGGCTGCCTCTGTGTCCTGAATCAATTCAAAAGGTTTACCTTTTGTAGTCATTCTGGCTTTGCGGAACAGCCCGAAATTGCATGGAGCCAGGTGCAACCAATAATACGGATGAGGATACAACGTAATGAGCTTCCCTTCTGCTGGGTGGCACTTGGCAGCAGCATTCACCAACATTTTGATCACGCTTCATGAAGATACAAAAGAAGACTTCCAGAATTGCTTCACAAAGTAGGAATAACAATGAGATAATTGTGTTTAAAGTGAGGGGGAATATTTAAGGGGCATTAAATGTTCTTTTTCTGTATGACAATGTGTCTTTTACTGTAATATATTTTCAATTTTAAATAGTCACCATATATTTTGATCACCCCCTGTATAGTACTTGACTACCTCTTCATATAACAATTACTATGTATATAATCTCTAACAGAGAGAACAGAGAAAATAATTTGGTCTTCCATTTAGAATGAGACTGAAAATTTGTTTTGGTTTTTTTTTCCCTTGATAGCTTCCAAACACTTGTGTCTCTTGGGTTTCTTCCTGTATCAGCTAGTTGCCATAAAACAAGTTCATAATGCTATGCAACCTCTGGGCCTGCACTTTGATGTAGCAGTGCCAGCTGAGTTGGCAGACTGCACAGCCACAAGTTCCTGGGAGACATGACACCGGTTCAGCTAGCAAGACAAGTATATCAAAGTGAGTACAAATGGTATGAATGTATCCCACTCGTCCTCTCCTCGGGATTCCAAAATAGCCTGTGCCCACTCCAACACAACCTGAAAGGACAGGAGGTAAGGCAGGTAGGAAGTCAAAGTGGAAACTAGTAACCTTACCCAGTTAGGTTCAGATTCAGAAAGGCCCTGTATAAGCAAGAGGCCTTAAGCAGTATTAGCTTCAGGGGAAGTCTAACTCTGTCCAGATCATTCTGAGTGATAATCATCACGAACAATTTGGATTTTTTCTGTTACATGAGACCAAAAACAAGTGGTAGGTTTTAATCGTGGGATCTAAATTGTATTTTATTAAGAACACACTGAGATACACGTTCTTATTAAATGCACGAGGAATGCACCGACCTTAGGCTATCCTTTAAGCCTGTTCCCCAAGGGGTATTCAAGCACAAAGTAGAACAACCTTTTGAAAATTTGGGTTTTTCTCTTTCTTCCATCTCTAGATTTAGAATCCCCAGATGTATACCTCACTTACAGTTCCATCATTTCTCCTCCCTAAAGGATCTCTGCTTGAAAATAAAAGTAATAGAAGTTTATTGTTAGAGTATCAACAGGTAATTAATGTAATAAAGAATAGCAAGACACTCAGTCATTGAGAGTTCTTTTATAGTTTTAGGAGTGGAAGCACTGTTACAGCTGCAGAGCCCCAGTCTCAAAAGTCTAGCCTTTCCATTGGCTCAGGGACAACCTCAGTATCTCTAGTGAACCCTCTCTTTCTCAAACTGGAGACATTTAACTAGAGACACAGTGTTGACAAACAGTTGAGAATTCTGAATCTACCAGGTAAGTACGCAGTAAGCATTTAATAGTAAGGTTTAATAGTAAACCTGCCAAGTTTTGTAGGTGGAGATGGCAAATTTATTGGAAGATTCTGAACCAGAAATGCTGGAGGGGGTGCCAATCCTCAGCCTTTGGAACTTACACCCAGGTCTCCGGCTCTGACTTTGGATTTGTGCTTGACAAGCAACATCACTGAGAGAAGCACAGCACAGCAGCGTCTCACCAGTCACCCTGCTGCTGAAATGCTAAGGGAACTACTGTACCTAGAAAATGAAACTGAAGAAGGCAGAAAAAGAGCTACATATGAATTTGAGAACACACTATAATATACACAGAAGAGCATAATACAGAGAAAATATTTAAGAGGGGGAAAGCAAACACAACCAATAAAGGATCAGGCTATCTGGTAAACCAGGATCCCATGGTGGTGGTTGTAGAAAACTGCCAGCTATCACCTCACCCATAAGTAAGATCTTTGTAGTTAAATAATAAAGGCTATAGGGGCTGGGGATTTAGCTCAGCGGCAAAGCGCCTGCCTGGCAAGCGCAAGGTCGTGAGTTCGGTTCCCGGTACCAGAGAAAAACAAAACAAAACAAAACAAAAAAAATAATAAAGGCTATGACAATGTGGATTTACATATTCAAATTCAAGCACACTACAAAAACTTGTACCATAATGAGACAACTTGTGAGAATCTAAAATAATACAAAAAACTCTGATCTAGGAAAAAAATTTTCAGAAAAAGAAAATAAATACAACACATGTATAGTTTTTAAAATTTAACTAGGTCTACAAAGTCTATTAAAAAAAGCTAGTCTCTAGATCCTCTCTCCAACACATCCTTTTGTGAAAAGCTTTCTTTACTTTATCAGATGACTACTTGTGTGTCTACACCAAGCATGACAGCACACATCTGTAATCCCAGCACTCTGGGAGGCTGACGCGAGAGGACCACAAGTTCAAACCCAACTTGGGCAACTTATGTGTGTCATTATCTCAAAATTAGAAAAAAAAAAAAAAAAAAGGCTGAGGATGTTAGCTTAGTACAAGGCAAGGGAGGGGACAGGACAGAAGAGGAGAGGAGGGGAAGGGTGAAGGGAGAGGAAAGAAAAAGAAAAGGTCTCTTTCCTAATCTAGAACCTTCTATGCTTCCTAACCCCACCATCTCAATGTGATTTTATTCTCATTTTGGTTAGATCACTATTTAAGGCTTATATTACGATTACACAGAATACTTAAGAGCTCCCCAAAGCAGTAGACAATAATTACCTTATTCACATAACATTTTGTTTTCCTTAGAATATATGGTTTCTCATTTACTTAGTTTTCTAAGTATTTATCCGAATGGTAAGTGCCTACCATACATTTATCCCTCATCCACCCCATACTCTCCAGTCTGAGAAAACTCTTTTGAATATATTTATTCCTATAGGTTTCTATCCATTCCCCTTGTCAGAACTAAGGACCATGGGCCAGTTACACAACTACTATCCTAGGCATTGCCCTATTCCCTCCCTTGGGTCTGGATGCTCTTTCTTATCTCCAAAGCTACATCTTCCTTGGTACAGTCCCTTGGTCTGATGCACTACATTCTTCAGCTTCCTGAGGAATGTTTGTGGTAGATGAATTTTTTGAGGCCTTATCTCTAAAAATATTTCTATTCTCAAACTTCATTAACAGTTTGGATAATTTGTATCCAGAATATGGAAGGCACTGCTATTCCACTGCCTCCTGTTTCTACTATTGTTGAGAAGTTTGAATCTGTTACATGTAGATCTAGTTCTTTGTATTCTACCTCAGGAGAATTTCCTACTTTTTTTTAACCAATCTCTCTAAAAATATTGTTCAGTCTTCTTTCTACAGTATATTTATAAAATATTTGGCAAGAATAATATACTTTAGTATAATTTTGTGTTAATCTGCTTTCCATCACTGTAACAAAATATCAGACATAAGAGGGAAGACTTATTTTGGCTCACGGTTTTAGAGGTTTCAGTCCATGGTCAGCTGGCTCCATGTCTTTTAGGCCTGTGGTGACACAAAAACATGGTGACAGGAATGGCAGAGGAAAGCTGTTCACCCTGTAGCAGCCAGGAAGCAAAGAAAAACAGGGAAGATCCAGAGAAGAAGAGGCTGGAAACCAGAAATAGTTCCCAACATTACACTCTCAAGATTCATGCCCTTCAAGAAGGCCTTACCTTTTACCTCCAATAATGCCATCAAATTATGATCAATGGAATAACCCTCAATAAAGTTAAAGCCATGAGGTCCATTCATCTTCCAAATGGCCCACCTCTGAACACATAAGACTTTTTAGGGGACATTTTTATCCAAACCATAACAAATTTATAAATTCTTGTATGGATTCATCCCTTGATAATTTTCTCTGCATAATATTAAAGATCAGGAAACTCCTTAAACCAGCCATATTTAAATTCATTTTACATCGAGTTAACAGGAATCTTTGTAAAAAGATAAAAGGTTTGCTACTGAGGATGATGATGACAGCTAAACTTTACTGAGTAATTACTACATGTCAAGTATTTTACCTGTTATTACTTAAGTCTCACAGATGACAAGATTTGTAATGTGTCCAGGATCACATCTCTGGGAAAGTAATATAGCCAGAATTAGAATCAAGGTTTGTCTGATTCAAGAGTACAACCTTCTAAGCACTCTGACAAACTGCAATGTGTTCACCAAAACCTCTTCCTGGACACATGTTGCCTAGTCTTCCTTGTAGTCAAATATGGTCATTTCATTAAGTTCTGGTCGATAAAATATAGGAAACAGTGTCACAAGTAGCCTTTCCCACTCAAATATCTCCTCCAACTAATCTACAGTTGTTGCCTTTTTGGCTTCATGCAGATAAGCACAAGCACGTGTTGATAAGAACCATTTGCTGAAGATAGTGTTGAGCTTACCAATCAAGAATACTAGTGCTGGACTTCGCTGAGCAAAAAATAAAACTTAAGCTATACAATCCATCGACATTTGGAGGTTACCACAGTCAACCTCAATACCATATTGCCTCAATAAATACAAAAGGTTGGAGTACATAAATCAGGTATATTAACTATCATGACATATGATCAGTACCAAGATAATGGTGTGAAGTTGTATTTACAAAGGAAAGCTATGTGCTCAGAGAAAAACTTTGAGGTAGCTTGAATCTGAGTTCCATCTCTCATATCTATTAATCTCATTTCAAATACTAATTCAATCAAAAACCTAAGGACCCCATCTTACCTTTAAAGGATTAAGAAGCAGACAGATTCTGCAGCAAATACTGGAGTTTTAAAATAACAATGACAGACACAGGTTAGATAAGAATATTAGATTAGTCCAATGTTTCTAAAACATGTTCCATGACATGTTAATTATGCTGTTCTTAAACATGCTACTGCTATTTTATCTCTACCCTCCATTTCCCTCGGACCCTATCTCACAAGTCTTATAAGAAAAAAAAATAGCATGATATAATCCCTTTTTGGAATTTCAAAATGTAAGCTTTTTAGAATTCTAAGCTAAAGAAAACTGAGTATTAACAAAACTTCCAGTTTTCTTTAGTTCAAGTATTTCCCGAACTTAGTCAAAGATAATAATCTATTTTTTAAGAAGCCTACCTATTAATGATATACACTTTCTGAAACAGTACACAATAAGTTACTTGAGGATAAGGAAAATTCCTTATTACTCTTTGTAAACACAGCGTGATGTATATGAAATGAACACTTA